GGTTCCATCCTGTACGGCCCTCCTGGCATGTGAGAAGGCAGGGGCTGAGAACTGGGGACAGAAACCTAAACTGGCACGTGATGATGCCATAGGTGTACACATACTTGAGCTCCTGGGCAATTGCAGCAATCTGCTCCACTCGGTCCTGGTGCGCGGCCAGGTCACTCTCGAAGGCCTCGTGCTTGCGGATCAGAGCTTTGATGTCTGACAGGGTGGCTGTCTCATAGTCCCGGTGCTTCAGCATGGCCTCCTTCCCTGCAGGTGTGGCAGAGAGGCACCTGAACAACAGCCCCGCAGCTACCGAGCTTATCCAAGGCAGTGTGCATGTGTGTGCATGTGTGTGCATGCAGCACCATGGACCATATCTGTAACTGTAGAAGCCCTCAGAACCTTCTTCCTTGCCCCTCAGGGATCTCTTAGGTCCAGTTATGTTCTGTAAGGTTCTGTGCAGGCTTAGGGGATACTCTGGTGGTTATGGCCCCGGACATACTGATGGGGCCCAGAGAGTAGGACAGTTGAAAAGTTACAGACACCATTTGTGAAGGATGGAAACTGGGAGAAGCCCTTAGGCTTGCAGCCAGACCGGGTGGGATCAGGGAAAGGGCAGGCACAGAGTCTGGGCCCAGGAGTTGTGCCTGTGCCAGCCCTTTGGAGCCTGCTCTCCTGGGTGGTGGTCCTACCCAATCTTCGAGCCCCACCCCATTTCCCGGCACAGTGGGCGGGGCTGTCCAGACCCTTTGAAGGAAGCAAAGGGAGAAACACTGTTATTAGTCCTGGAGCCGGGCTAATTACATGCCCAGAGCAAAAGCCCAAGCAGTGTGCTAGAAGTTAAGGGACTATAGGAGGCTGAGGGAAAGGCGAGCCAGGACGGCAGCCGGGACTCCACTCCTTCCTCAAGGAACCTGCTTCCAAGTGCCTCTGGGCTCACCCCCAGACAGCTGGCACCCTTGGCAAATCTTTCCTTTGTCAAACAGTGCCAGCAATAGCACCTATGCGGCCTTGAGCCATCCTGAATTTTAGTGAGGTGATGGTTAAGACTGGAAAGCAGAGTCAGTGCTGCCCCCCCCCCCCATCTCAGCTGCCCCAGGGCCAGGGCTGGCACCAGCAGACAAGAGGTGGGCCTGGAAAACTGACTCCACAGGCCTGCCGCCCCTGCCCCAGGCTGGAGGGCTTAACCACAAGGCAAGCTTGCCATTCCCTTCTCTAAACTGCTTTCTCCCAAGGGTGGGAACCAGAAATAGCAGCTGAGAAAAACTCAGGCCTCAGCTGTTTTAGCAGGGAACTGGCAAGTGTGTCCTACAGGGCAAGAGATGTATGTGGGGCTCACTGGTGTTTGGAAAGCATCCCCGTGGGGCCTGCCACTACTGAGACCACTCCCCCAGGGCAGGCTGCTGTAACTAGGGCCTAGCAGTGAAGAGGGGCTGTAGGGCAAGCCTGTCCTCAGGGGTTACAATGATTCAGAATACAGGCTGAGCTCAGGAGAAGAGTGAGCAGGTCTGCCTGGGGACTCAGAGCTGCTGGGAGGGACAGGTGGGTGTGTGAAGATGTCAGCCAGGATTGGGCCTACCGATAGCTGGGACTCATTCCTAAGTCCCTCCGGTGCAAGCCTGTTCCCAGGCATTCCCAGAGAAGGAGCACTTGAGAGGTTACCATGTCCACAGCCTCATGAAAACAGAAGACCAAGGC